ATCATCATCATCATCATCATCATCATCATCATCATCATCATCATCATATTGCATTTATTGTTGGGAAAGTATGTCCGGAGAAAGAACCACCTCCTTGATCTGCCAGGATCTGCACACCTCTTTACTTAGACAATGGATTTGTAGGACCTAGACAACAAATCTCTCTCAATATCAGCAGGTTCTTCACCATGGTGCAGCCTTCATGGATGCTCAAGTTAGTGGTTTTCCTTGCGGGGTCTGAGAACATTCCTTCCTTCATTCATTCATTCATTCATTCGAGAAACATCACCACCCCCCCCAAAAAAACAACACAAGTGGATGCGGAATAGTTTGTTTTGGGGATGGCCCACCATTTGGCACCATGGACATGAACAGTATTGAAGAGATAACCACTATGACAGGAAATTATTTTCGTGAGAAGATCTGTTGCTTCTGATTCGCCGTGTTCTTCCCGACGCGAGAGCCGCGTGACGAGTTCCAGCGACCCCTGCCACAAACAAAAATGCCAGCTCCCAGTCAAGTGGGGCGATCAGAAGCATCTGAACACATGTTTTATGGGGCCGGCAAGGAAACCAACAAAGACACGACCTGTCTAGGACTGGAATACACGCCGCCCCATGGACCTATATGTCATATAATGCCATATACAGTTACATGTGTATAATAATACATGGAGCGTCTTGACTGGGAGATGTGGAGTCTCTCCAGAATCTCTTCGACCATGCTGCTGTTTCGGCGTGACTCCGCACAATGCACTTCTTCCGCTTTTGTGCAAAAGAAGGCCTACATAGGTGGCTGTATAGGGCGCAGCAACGCCAACGGCAGGAACTTGAAAACCAAGCTCAACACTCCACCTTTGCAACAAACTGTCAGAACAGCATGGAGCATCTGCAAGGAAACCTCAATTTCTTCCTGCTCTCTCTTTCGTTTGCCATGCGAGCAAAGATTCATAATCTATATATGCAGGGATTGTGAAATGCAGGGATTCACCCAAGGACACTAGAAAAAGGGATCAGTCCAGGGTCACCCAACCAATTCACAACCGATCTTTTCGATTCCGTGGGTACGCAATGGTACGCAGGTTCCAACGTTTGACCAGAACAGGCCCAATGGTTGGGTCTCAAACTGGGATGGCAGGTGTGAAAAACCCAGGCGTTGAAGTCCGTCACCTCCTGGGGGGTGCTATGACCATTGCCCTTGAAAGAAATTCATAATCTGATTCAAGGATTCAAACCGATTGGATCTTTTGATTGGCAACATGTTTGGAGGAGTGTTGTGCTTGTTGAAAACCACCCGCCCAGCAAAGTCCGCCAAACGTCCAAAGGCCTCCACCTGGTTATATCAAGAACACCCCAATCCGGTGCATGGGTCGCTTCTACTTCTACCATCCCCCCCAAATGCTTGGTCCAAGACTGGCGCCATCTTTGCTGGGTTGGTTCCTGGCGACACCTCTCCTGGTCACTTCATGTGTCCACCTGGCATCTGTCGAGCTGGAGCGCTCGACAGATGTGTCTACTTCACCTTGCGGTGCTCAAAAGCTCAGGGAATCATCCTCAAACAATGATATCCGTTCCTGGCTTCGTCAAAGAAACGAGACGGTATGACAGCATGACCCTATTTGTTGAATAGCGGGACGGAGGAGAAACATCTTGCACAGTTAGAGCCAAGTAGTCATCTGTCTCTGTCTGCCTCTGTCTGTCTGTCTGTACTCTCTCTCTCTCTCTCCCTCTCCCTCCCTCTCTCTCTCTCGCGGGTCCTGCTCTGCACTAATTTATATAGTTGGGCAGCTATATTGTTTAACATGCATACATCATAGGCTTCAATCTCACTGCCATTCGCCCAGTACTCACGGACGGCTCTGCGGACCGCAGGGATCTGGTCAAACTCCGAGCGTCACGTTCCTCTCGAAGGACTCGATCAAGACCTCAGGTTGTGTAGGACGAAAGCCAATGAACCGAAACAAAGCTGAGATGTCACCTCCCATAAGCCAACAGAATCCAACATAGACACCTGTCAAACATGGTGAAACAAACCTTAGATGTCCCAAACCATCCATCTGACCATCTGGAATAGATGGAATAATACATGAAGACCACATGAAAATGATCCATCCATCCATCCATCCGCACTGGCACTGCTTACAAATGAAGCGACACGGAACCAATCGATCATCCATCCATTGTAGGTCATGATTCCAGTTCCCAAGAAGCGCTTTACGTTGATGTTGACTCGAGAGGCAGTGATGACTGTTTGTTGTCGTGTCTTGGAGGTCTCAGGTTGTGAGAAAAAGATGGCTTTCAGAACGGTGCACGATCCACATGTGGCTGGGGGGTTGGAAACCTTCTAAGATTTACTGACCTGGAACCGGAACCCCGCTTACCATACATTATCCACTAGTGGTCCAATAGACCTCTTGGTGAATGCCGGGATTCTCTAAGGGTGTCGTCATTTTGCTCATTTCTAATAACTCGGAAGCCGCGAAAAAAAAAAAAAAAAAAAAAACAGGCAGGACCTAGTGAAAACCTTGGCTTCTGGAAGAAACCATGTCCTCACAACAAGCTAGGGACTCAAGGCACTACATCAACGTCATGAGTCATGGTTGTGGTTGGCGGCTGGGGTTGGGCTGTTGCTGTTGCTGTTGCTGTTGCTGCTGCTGCTGCTGCTGCTGCTGTTGTTGTTGTTGCGGTGGTGGTCGTTGTAGAAGACCGAGGACTATCTCGAGTCTCAATATGGTTCCTCGAGTCGAAGAATCCCCGCACTCACTACCAGGACCCTCCGTTTTCGGGGTGCCCTGTCTGGAAGCCTAGGGGGGTAGGTGTGGGGTAGTCCAGCCAGGACACCCCGAGAGTCGGAGGGTCCTGGTACCCATTTCACCCTGTGGTTCAGAAGCCAAAAACCAACAGTTTCCAGGAGTCATAGCTCGGGGTGCGCCGAGTTCCGGAGGATCAAAGCTGGGGTCCCCATGATCCACCCGTGACTGAAGCAGGCGCCGCACTTTTAGTGGCTGGACGTAGTGGTTGGTTGGATGTCTCAGGTTAGGAGGAAACAAATGGCTTTCACAACGGTGCAGGATCCGCATGTGGCTGGGGGGCTTGGACACCTTCTAGGATATACTGACCTGGAAGCCCCTTTCTTGAAAACCCCTCCGAAGTCCATGCCGCGGCACAGTCCAAATCTCACAGCGCCCCAAGGACCACTCGATCCCGGTGCAGAACCAGGCGTTGGAGCAAGCTGCTTTGCACTCCTCGATGTCTCGATAGCCTCACGCGTCACGTCTACCCAAGCGCGAGAAACGCGAGGCTGTCAGAGTCCAAGAGGGTCAGAGTCCTGGTTCCTTTGGGCCTGTCGAGTCCTACCTTCTCTAGACCATCTAAGTGCATGCTTGAATCCGTGCAGTGGATCACCAACCCCCCTTGCTTCACATGTTCCAACGTGCCGGACCGTACCTGCCCCCAACGGAAGAACGTTTCAGCTGGGTGCCGCCCAGTCCTACCGGACAGGGCGCCATCTTCCAGCACCTTCCCTGCCAGGTCTCCGAAATGGAGGGTTGTTAGGCCCTAACAGGTTTCAATTGGTGACCTGTGAAGTCGGTGCTGGTTCACTCCTTCTGGTTCTTCAGACCGAGACTGAGATCCAAGAAAAGCCTCGATGGAGGCTAGGGACCACGGGGGGAGGCGCGAGTCACGAACTGAAGAAGCTGGTTTGCCCTGTCTGGTGCTTTAGGGATTGGTTTGCCAGTCCTCCCCGGCCGGTGTGGATTGAACAACACACGGCAAACTAGGTTTGAAGAGAAAAACATCTGGTCCAAAATCCTGAGAAGTCAAGGACGTCAAGGGCATCACACACACACACACACGCACACACACACACACACACACACACGATTTCCATCTGCAAAAAACATTTTTGTCCTTCACACCATGGTCGTGTTAGTCTTTCATTGCAGGGGTGCAACCATGGCACCAAACTGACCCCAAAAACCAAGCGTTATGTATCATGATGTGTTTGACAACCTTCTTCTATAGAGCTGCCAGAATACCTCCGCGTGAAATAGCTATGAGAAGGAGCTGAATATACGTTCTCATGGAGCAACTGAGGTGAGTGGAGATGCCTCTAAGACTAAATTATTGGTTATTGGCGAGACATGTCCAGCCACAAATTGGTGGCTTTGTCGTTTTGTCGCAATTTGCATCTTGAGCCGGGTGCATTGATCAAATGCATGTGCAGCCACCCCATGCTCCATTGAAATGAATCCTTCAAGAAAACTGCGGCTTGCTGTCAGAGATATTTTCCTGATCCTGTAATTCCAAGTGCCGGAGGAAAAAGTATCAAGTCTCCGTTGGCTTGTGCTCCAAACATCTTCAAGACTACTAAAATGTCTGAAATTGCGGGTTTGGGAAAAGCTTCTCCCTAGCCTCCCTCTACTCATTCCAAACATATTTTGATGTAAATCCGTAGTACAACAATGATTGTTTGTTTGGCAAAAGCAACTGAATTAATGGTTCTTGGACTCCGGGGTTTCTTGCTCAGCTTTCATGCGTCACAAAGGCCGATGCGCTGCGACTCTTGTTCATCGCCCGCAAGGCCCCCCACTCATGCAACCCGGAGGCTGGTCGGGGTGGCCTTGTGGGCTAGGGTGTAAAAGCCTCAGCAGGCTTCCCAAGATCCCTGATCATATTCCAGCCCTGGAGATCTCAACATGTTGTGAGAAGGTCTGTCTCGACCCTCCAAATCCACCCACCCACCCCAAACACCTTCGAAGGTGGGGGTTCGTACGTAATTGTTGAATTTGCATGTCAGTCTTTAGGGGCTGCAGCGGAAAGTGGGTCCACTGGGCATCAAAGCCACTGCCACTTCCCGTGTGTGCGAGGAAGATCCTTTGGGAAAGCAGGTGCTAAGGCCTGAGCACCACGGGCCAATCACATGGCGCGTAGCAGTTCCCATCTACGTGTAATAGGGAATATCACGCAGTCTCACGGGATGGCGCTTCTCGTCTAAGGCCACAAACAGCTGGGATGTCACCTCCCACGCTGCCAACACAATCTAACATGAAACACCCCTTATAAATCACACACCATCCGTGTGAATGGAATACCTGTTCTATTTCTATGCATTTTAACCGATGAGATTGATCCATCCATGTATGTAACTATTCCAGCCCCAACTCATTGCTTGGGTGATCAATGATCAAGTAACGTAGACTCTTGATTAACAACCTCCCCCACTTGAATTATAACACTTCTTCAGAGGATTTTAAATCAAGAGTCCACATTAAAAGAAGTCTTCATCCCAATGCTTGCGGGGACATAAGTTAGAAGATTTATCTTTTTACCAGCCACTTGAAAAGGACTGACTTCCAAAAGAGAAGACCTCATGACATATGAGTCATATGAGCTCTCTTACTGGACAATCTGGACTCTCTGGACCCCACCAAACGAGGCGGCGCACCGCTTGGACCCTTTGCCAAGGCTCTGGGGTGGTTGCGTCCGCCACTGGCCCGAGGCGTCGATCCGAAGGGTTACAGTAAACCCGGGTGAGGAGGAAACGAGTCATGTAGACTCTTGATGATATTTCAACCACCCCATTTGAGTGTCTTTTCAATTCAAATCCGCGGGGTGGTATGGGGTGGTGATTAATCAAGAGTCTACATTGATAGCATTCACCTCTCCGTTTCAGTGTTGGCGACGAGCGCCAGAAGCATCGAGTGCCAGGGTCTGACTGAATGTCCAAGCCAAACGATTCAAACGCTCCATGTGATTGCATGTTTGCCTATAAGCCTAATTTGCACCTCTGATTTATAGCCCCACTCGGGATGAACTTTATTTAGGGTAAACCAAGATGTCAAAATTTGCCGCCCCCCTTTATTAATCAGAGGACAACATTACTTCAAGGGGTTGTGGTTTGTATTGGTCAATGGTAGGATTCTCCAGTCCCATGGAGTTTTCCAGTCCCATGGAGTTTCTGGGTGACATAGGGCATAGGACCCCCAGTGTAGGACGATACCACCCGCCACATGTGGCGATGCCACACCGCTCCAGTGGGAAAACTGACCTCCCACCCGTCCATCAACCCGGCACATCCGAACACTACATGTACATGTCAAAGAATATAATCCTATTAGCTGTAACAGTGGATGATGATGGTTAGTAAAGGCCTTGCCCAAAAATAGTGATCCTTGTTTTACTGACGGTTACAGGTAAGAACGGACAAACCCTACCGACATGCACCCCCGAAACCATCCCAATGTGTGTATGGACCTGGGGACCTGGGTCAGGGCGACTTCCGACTTCCCAAAACAATCAAAAATGGAGTTCCTCGAAACATGCAGATTACCCTGTGTTACACGAACACATCATGGAAGTAGATGGTGTTGCCACTGCAGCAAAGTCATGAAAAATATGTTGCCAAACAGGCTAAGAAAAACCACGTCACCGATGTGTTCGTAGGAGTCCCCGTGGGTATCTCTTGTTCGACCTGTACATTTGGGGTAAGGAAACCAATAGGTTGGGTCTAGGTTGGGTCTAGCCTCTTGCCAGCAACAGTGGATGATGATGCTCGGGTTGCAGGTCGACTTCTCTAAAATAGTGGTGTTCTTGTGAAATCCAACTGTTACTGTTACAGGTTTCCTAGGGGAGTCGACCCTACCAATATAGGCTTGATTGTTTTTACCCGTGCTCATTCGTTGTGGGTTTCCTGGACGGATCGGGCAGCGAGTGACACTTGGAACTTGTGGCCTGGAAGGCGAAAGCTTCCCACCCCTCCTAGCTGAAGCAAAACAGACTCCAGCTAGCTACAGCTAGACTTGTGCCAGGGCCCCCTCATATCCGTGCTTCGGCGTGTCCAATCAAAGCCTCCGTGCTTTCGGGTCTTCGGGGAAGCCTCCGACCACAGCTTGGCGGGGCTTCCGCCTCGCCCTGCTCGTCCCACCCCCCCGGCCTGGCTCGGCAAGGGTGAAGCGTCTCACCAGATGGATCGAGGGGAACGAGTTTGGACGTGGGCCAGCCATATCCTGAGAAAACATCATCCAAGTGGCAACTGGGACTTGCATGAAGAAAAGCTGCTGATCTTCGAGGCTGAGATCTCATGGGTTCGGGCCATGGGTTTTGCCGGTGCAGGGGAGATTGCGCAAGCGCTTTTGCACCCCGAAGATCACACATCATGATGTTGGTCAACGATCGCTTCAAGAGTTCCTTCTTGGGATCGCAAATCCAACACACAGCTGGATGATCAACATTGGAGCAAGCGTCTGCTGCGCGGAAGCCGAACTTCTGCTGCGGCAATATGACACCAAATTCACAGCGTTAATGACCAAACACTCCATGTATGCATAAATCTGCCTACATTGACCCCCCAAACACCACCAATCCAATGTAGTATTTAAATATGCAACACATATTCCATGCATAGAATGTCCGGGATGTTCAGTGCGTGCCTGCACCTTTGCTGAGTTCTGTTCACCATCTGCCGTCACAGGCCAACGACGTCATTAGCTGCGACATCTTGGTCGACTGAAATTCCAAGAGAGTCCTGTTTTGAAGCCAGAACTTCCAAGACCAAACCAACCACCTGCTTTCGTTGAAAAAGGACGCTGAATGTAACACCGATCCCCAGTTGGCGGTTTTCGGGCAGTTTTCGAGCCCTCATTCCATCCTCATTCCTCAGGGCAATCCTGATTCCTCAGTGTCTGCAGCCATGCCCTGTTTCTTCGTTTATGGGTTCTGTAACTCTGAAAGATGTTAGCCACAAAAACTGTTGTGTCCAAAAAACGTTTAATATTGTCCAAGACTTTCCTTACCCAAGCCAGTACTCATAGCAGCGTATCTTCAGCATTCAGCTTTGTGGCATCTTCCGTTTTCCGGATCTACGGCGTTTTGCGGAGAAGGCTGATGGTTCAACACTCGGCATGGCCTCATTAGCATCTGGCATAGCCTCATTAGATTTTGCTTTTTCGCCTTTCTCACAGGCACTGATGGCAACATCGTAGCTGATCGCATCTGCCTGCAAGTTTGCATCCCGCATGGTCTCCAACAACTTCAACGCATGCTGCCACTTGCCCACAGTCCCGCAGGCACCAATGGCTGCACTGTAGCTGATGACATCGAGCCGTACATTGGCCTCCGGAATAGCCTCGAATATATTCAATGCTGGTTGCCACATTCCGCGCTTCTCACAGTCACATATGGCTGCACTGTAGCTCATGACATCTGGCTTCATGTTCGCTTCGAGCATTGCCTCAAACAACTTCAATGCCTGTTGCCACTGCCCGGCTTTCTCACAAGCGCTGATGACCGCACAGTAGCTGATCACATTTGGCTGTAGGTTCGCCTCCTGCATGGCATCGAATACCTTCAACGCCTGCTGCCAGTGATAGCCCTTCTCGCACGCACTGATGGCAGCATTGTAGGTAATCACATCTGGCCACAGTTTCGACAAAAGCATGACATCAAACAAGGTCAACGCTTCTCGCCACTTGCCTGCCTTCTCACAGGCACTGATGGCTGAATTGTAGCTGATGACATCTGGCCACACTTTTGCCTCTCGTGTTTTTCCCAACAACGTCAATGCTTCCTGCCACTGGCCAGCCTTCTCACAGGCACTGATGCCTGCATTGTAGCTGATGACATCTGGCTGCACTTTTGCACACCACATTGCATCCAACAGCCTCAATCCCTGCCGCCACTCGTTGGCCTTCTCACAAGCACTTATGGCTGCACTGTAGATGATGACATCTGCCTGCACATTCGATAGCCCCAGGCCCTCAAACAACATCAATGCTTGCTGCCACTGGCCGACCTTCTCACATGCACTGATGGCTGCACTGTAGCTAATGACACTTGGCTGTACTTTCACCTGCCGCATGCTGTGAAACAACTTCAATCCCTGCTGCCACTGACTGGCCTTCTCACAAGCACTGATTGCCGCACTGTAGATGATGACATCTGCCTGCACCTTCGACAACCACAAGCCCTCAAACAACAGCAATGCTTCCTGCCACCGGCCGACCTTCTCACAGGCACTGATGGCTGCGCTGTAGCTGATGACATTGGGCTGCCCTTGCAGCTCCGGCATGGCCTCAAACAACTTCAATGCCTGCTGCCAGTGGGAACCCCTCTCACATGCACTGATAACAGTATTGCAGCTGATGACATTTGGCTGCACTGTCGCTTCTGGCATGGTCTCAAATAAATGCAATGCTAGCTTCCACTGGGCGCCCTTCTTACAGGCACTGATGGCTGCACTGTAACTGAAAACATTTGGCTGCACTTCCGACTCGGGCATGACCTGAAACAACTGTATTGCCTGCTGCCACTTGGAGCTCTTGTCACACGCACTGATGGCTGCACTGTAGCTGACCACATGTGGCACGACTTTTGCGTCCAGCAGGGCTCCCAGCAACTGCAATGCCTGCTGCCACTTTGTTGTTTTAGCATAAGTTGAAATGTCATGACATGTCGGCATTGCACAAGCTCAGTTTGATGGTGCCATCCTGCCGCCAAATGACATGCAAAACATACATCGATCATCATGGATCTATACATGGCACACATTGAAATGTAAACTATACTGTGGTCTTCAGTTCTGGAGGCAACATTGACAATGGGTGCGGTTTTATTTGAAATATGTGCGTTGCGTTAGGGAATGTATTTTTTTGTGGTCGTGGTTTCTCTACAATATATATATATATATAATATATACACAGTAGTTCCTCCAGTGGAAGTGGACAGCTAGCTGTTTGTAGAAGAAATGACTGTCCAGGAGGCCATTTGCCATGTCCATGACTTTTTCAGGACGTCCGGGGCCTGAGTGCAACGAAATGCTAACAGGCTGCACTACAAGGCATACACTGCTACTCCAGAAGCCCAGCTCATGTCCAGAGCAAACACAACAAGGATCGGACGCAGGGCGAAGCATCATGAGACAAGTGCATCATAATCGAGAAGGGAGTAAAGAGTGAAAGAGTTTTGTTCGATGCACTTGGGATCACTTGGGTTGTCCCTTGAGGTGAGGGGAAAAAGCCATCAACCAGTACGTAGAGCAAAAACAAACAATCAAAAAGAGTAGCAAACGTGTGGACAGCCAGAAAAGCAACAAACTCAAGGCTTGAAAAGCAACTAATACAAAGCGGCGGCAACAAGGTTTATAGAAAGCAAAAGCTGTTAGATAAACCACAGAAACAATCCGCCACAGACAAGAAGACAAGAACCAGGAAAGAGCTACTAGATAAGGGCAAAAGAAGCAGGAAAATCAAGAACAGCTGTAGAAATCACAGGGAAGCAATGAAAAGCAAAGGAAATGCAAAACAAGCAAGAAAATGCAAGAAGGAACAACCACAATTAAGCAAGGAAACACGGCACAAGCATAAAAGGATTGAAAAGCAAAAGCAACCACAACGAAGCAAGGAAAAACAAGACGAGCACCCAAAAAACAAGAAAAGCAGGACAACTCACGGAGAAGCAATGAACAAGAAAAGCAACGAGAAGCAAGTCCACAAGAAAGTCAAACACTACAAATTCCCCGAACAAGTAGCCCTCAAACACTGAAGTGCATTCATAGACATGAGTCTAAGGAACTGATAGCTATAGCAGGATGCCCCAGAATCCAAAACGATCCCAAATAATTCCGAAAACTTGCCTCCCAACCAATCCCTAGGGATCCAGTCGTACCTTCTCAGAAGGTACGGCTGGACCCTCGAAACCTACATGAGAGATCATGAGAGTGTCTCCAATCACCTTCTGAGAAGGTACTTGGATCCCCAAGGAATGGATTGAGTATGCTTTTGCATTTTCCCACGGGTTGAACTGAGGGGTCTCCCTATTCTAATACACACCCACTACCCACATGGTGTCCTGATTGCTCACACTCCAACGCACAGCTCCAAACGCTGATCTTCGGCTGTTCCGCCGTGGTGGGAACTCCCTTGTGAAGCTTCGCGAGGCACACATGAATCGAGGCCCAGGTCAAGTCCTGACGGCCTGGGCGGCCAACAAGTCCAGCTTGGGCCAATGTGCTGCGGATGGAAAGGGTGACGCCATCAAGTGTGGAGTTGCCCCCAGAAGAATAAAACCTACACAAGAAAAAACGGAGAAAACACATTGAACATCAAGGCCTTCTGAGAAGCTGAGGAATGGCACTTGCTCCGATACGGTGCATTGTCAATTCTGAAGCTATCATGTTTTGGGTCTGAGAATATCTTACTCCGTTGGGATGTAGAATGGCCATACTAATTTAATGGCCATCTATATGCTCCCCGTACACTCAATAACCACAACGTGGTGAATGTTCACTTTGGCAAACTTTGATTGAACAATCAGAACAATACATCGTCCAGGACCCTTGGCTGTCCCACAAATCAACACCCAAGAGTCTACAAATATCGATGTTTTTGGAAGGAAAAACCATGGTGGATTGACCGTGACTCAATCGGGTCGTATACCAGTCACTGGCTGTTTCACCTGTTTCGCCCGGTGGACAAAGATCAGGCGGTCCATGTCCTGTGGTCAAGCAAGATCCCCCCGGTTTTGACCCATATACCGTTTCTTGTTTGGGCAGCCCAGGTTTTGTTGCTTAAGGCTTCCCGATGAGGCTGCTTCCGACCCAGCCCGTCCAAAGACGGCGAAGTATCGCATGCAAGTGTAGTTGCCCTTCTCTCGCGGGATCTCCTAAGCACACGATGCTAATCAAACATCAATGTGTCAGCTGAGTCAAACCTAACAACTACTTAATGAAAGTGATTTTCCACAGGTAGTGAGAGAAGCACCGGTAAAAACGGGTCATTATTGCGATTGAAGGTGCAATCAGCAACCGTCTTCCGCTAGCTTGTAACTCCAATACACCCTTATCCATCACTATGTCCGCAAGTACCTCTCTTTGCCGCCAGCAGGATGCGTTTACTCATTTAGTGCATAGGTCAGGGCTGCCGCTCTGGCCGGTCACCAGGAGAACTGAACCACATCATCGACCTACTAACACCAAACGACCACACGTTTCTTCAATCGATGATTTTGGAAAACATGCAAACACATAAGGAGTTGAGCTGGTGCATTCTCCCTATTGGCGCTGGGATCTATAAGAAGTGTCAGCCACAACTCACCAAATCAGCCACAAAGCACCAAATATCACCAAATTCTCAGTTCGGTGGCTTTCTCCCAAAGATGAGGAATTTCATATTCAACCTGGATTGATCCCAAACAATCATGTTGTCAGGTCTATTTACTCCCCTGCAGATTAACATGGAAGTGGAAAACCACCTGTTTGTAGTGGAAAATTGTCTTCCAAGGGGCCATTCTCCCCTTCCATGTTAGTTCCAGGGAGTGTATATTCTATATTCATATTTATACTATCACACAAAACGGTTGCAATCTACAACCCCGAGAGCCTACATCCAACCACGAGAGCCTGTTGTTGATCTACCCAGAACACACCATGAACGGAATATTTAGTTACCTGTCGGTATATGTGCGCGACTATTCCAGTCCCATGTGGGTATGGTTGTTGAATCTTCCCAAGGTGGTTGGGGTGGGTGGGTTAGGGGGGTCCAACCACCTGAGGATCTGGTGAAGTCACCCTAGGGCATGATCACCCACCGCTGCATCCGGCCGCTCCTGATAAGCGAAGAGCCCGCCATGGCGGACCCAAATCTCGCAGCGTCCGTAGCTGTATTCGATGCCGTGACAGGCCTCGGGTTCGGCGGGAACGTGGCAGCTGCGGAATTGGAGCCGTACCGACCCCAGGCGGCCCTGCTTTTGATGTGCTTGGCTGAGCCTCCCTGGACCATAAAAGGTTAAGTTTTTCCACCTGTTGACCCGAAGGGGTTCTTCCTTGATGTGTTTGGCTGACTCCAGAGCTGCCCCCCTAGAGAATCATTAAAGGTTAAGCACCAGGTTAAGCCCTTCATTGCAGGAGTTTGGAATGGAAGCTATGGACAGGTTTGTATCATAGAGTTTCCTGTTGTCACTTGCGTCAAATCCTGTTCTTCCTGCTCCGCAACTCGCTTCTTCAGCCAGTTCCTCGGGAAATCCTCCCCCAATTGCTACTGCTCTGCTGCTATCCCTGCAATGGCTAGCTGTGATCCTGCATGGTACCAAAGGGCCACAAAATGCCAAGGTACCAAACGCTCAAGCCATGTTGAGCCCCTTTTCCACCCGTTCTATCGTTCAGTGGGGAAAACCAATGTAAAAAACGAACAGCTTACACTCCCGGGAGTAATTACTCATGGCCCTGGCCGTGGATGGCATGCCCCCCGAAAGGAAGACCAGGGACGTCCTTCCTCACGGAGTGCAGCGGTGGTCCACCTGTCCTGGATTGGTTGGACATGCTTCGGGCCCTCTTTGGTATATTCATCCTAGCAACCCGAATCGCACCCCTTTGCAAGGGCAGGTTTAAGGATGTTTAAGGTGGTTCTGGTTCACCGTCCTTGCTGGTTCGCCTCATGCTCCAACTTCCTCCTGAAATGCGGTAGACCCCAAATGGCCCAGGATGAGCCCCAAATGACTGGAGTCACCTGACTCTTTCTGAAGTCCTTGGAAGCCTCTTCAATCTTGTACACTCTGACGAACACATCACATGGAAGTGGATGCCATGGTCCCGAAAGGAAGACGACGTTCCTTTACGAACAGGGGGTGAACTCCACGTACCCATGTGTTCGTCGGAGTGTAACCTCTAGCTTCGTTCTCCAGTCGCCTCCTCCGATCCTTCAACCCCGGTTTGCTCCGACGTTCCGTCGGTCCGATTCGCCGGAGAGGGACGAATCGGCATGCCTTCTGCGGTGGTCCTTGCGGCTTGTTCCGTCGGCTTTTCCAAGCCCCGGGCTGTGCGCTTGGCGCCCGCCGAGTCGACGAAGCACATACGGTGTACAAGATGGTCTACGCAATGAGTTATTTGTGTCATGCTATGTGTTGCTTCTTGCCTTTAATGGTTTTCACAGTGCCTGTAGACGCACCTCTCACAGTACAGGTCGGTTTCAGAACAAATCGTTAGTATTCCCAGGTTCCCAGGTTCACTTGGATGGTTCTTGTCACATCCATGGGTGCCTACCCGCCTCTCTTAGGCCGCATTCCCAGGACAACGAAGCCCAGGTCACAGTTGGCCAGCGCTTTTCGCACATCTTCTTGCAGCCATAGAGTGAATAGATTTTGTTGTAGACCTCAGCAACACCAAAACTCTGACGATTCTACGCGAAATGATTGCCAATCTTGACCCTGCTAACCACCATAATTCAATTTTAACCTGGACCGAGAAGAAACAAAGACAAGCATCTGCAAGTGACAACTTGTTTTTTTCTTCAGGGTTAGTTCACACCTTCTCCTCCAAGCGACCCAAGATTAAACAAGATCCATGGAGATCTGTGGGTCCGGACAGTATAAAGCGTCGCCCGGTTGTCGGTGCTGTTGTCTCCGCGGCAGGCATGGTTGCCTAGCGTTGTAGCGTTCTTGAACTGAAGAAGCACGTGGCTGTTATGGGTTGGGTCTGTTTGGGTGTTCTTGGTTTGGATATTCTTGGGAGGTCTTTTTCATCGTGCGCCAGGCCATGGACTCCAAAAACTAAGGAGGAAGAAGCTACACTCTCTCTGGTGATGTTCTCTTTTTGATGTCCCACTGTCCCACACTGCACTATATATATATATTTACACATGCTACTATGGTTGACAACCACAACTGCGGAACCTGTGATGTTGCCATCTGACTTGGTCCATGTCGATGTTTGAATTCAAACAAATTTTGCCATTTGCCCGATGTTGCAATGGCGTTCCCCGTTCGCCCCAGTTCATCATTGGCGGAGTTCGATATTCTGTATTATTTCAATGCTAAGATTAAGAATCATTATACGTAGAATAATAGCAGCGCACCTTCAGCAACCCCTTTAACACGAAACGTCACAGCGCTCCTTCCAGTCACATTGACCACCTTGCTGCAAATGTTTTTTGAAAGCATCCGGCTGACAACAGCAGCAACAAGAATTCACATGACAAAGTGCATTGTGATGCATTGTGTTTATACATGTTGATACATGCCCTGGAATTAGGGAAGTGGAAGTGGGAACAGCTCTTTCAGGTCCGGTGACGGCAGCACAAGAAGAACACAAGAAGAACAATCTCCATTTCAGCAAACAATACCAGGTGGAGAACATGAGAATCAACATGAAACAACTTGTGGTGGTTGGCTTTCCATTTGGGGCACATCCCAGTCCAACACCGCCCCACAAAAGCCACACCTTCACCACCGACCAGCTCCCAGCTCTTCTCCATGAAAAGGGTCGAGCGAGATAGGAGCGTGTAGTCCCAGCCGAGGGATTCTTCCTCAACGAGAAATCGCATTCTGCAAGGGATGCCTTCTCTGCCCCCGAGAAAAGCACGTCAACCAGCATCAAAAGTTGTGTTCAGGAATAGATTTGGGTTCCAAATCCAGGGGCCGTGGATGTGACAGGGGGCATCTTGGTTGGTCAATAGAAGGAGGATACAGTAAAAACATCAGAGGATCATTTTGAGTTTTTTTGGCTTCGGGGTCGTAGATCCCTTGGAGGTCAGATGGATGTTCACTTTTGGGACACGAGCTGCAAGACACGCTCCCCATACGTTGGCCATCGAAGTGACCAATGATGACTCTCCAACTCGGTTAACGCCATGGCATGGTGTCTTTGTTTTTTGTGTCAACAACAACGCCATGCGCGTCCCAAAACTGACCGGGTTCCAGGTATATATCTTTTCATACATGGAGTGTCTGGGTTTGAAAGCCAGGCAGCAGTACACCGGTCTTGAGATAGATTCTTGCAGTGGCACACCTGGCAGCGGGGAGCAGCACGCCATGCGGAATCACTATGCCGAAGGTAGCTCTACACAACAAAACCACACTGCTCCAAGTACCTCCAGATGACGGCGGACAACCACCCGCACTCTTGTTGCTGGTTTCCACCCACTGGGAAAACACACAAATCGGAAGGGTCAGGAAGTCGTTGAAGGCAGCGAGAAACCTCGCATCCAACAAGGGAGTCTTCAGAGGGCTCCCGGTATTTCATCAAACAAGCACCACCCAAAGTCCAACCCTGAAAGCCTGTGACGAGCCCAAACTATTGCAACCGGAAGGTCATATGTCTCCTGACGTCCCCTTCCAATTTCTGCTGAGAGGCATAGTAGCCACAGCCTGCGCAATCCTCACCATCCAGAGTCTTCATTTGCGCGTTGGCATAGAAGCCTCGGGTCTCAAAACCGTGCGTGCTTGCAGCAGCTCCCCCCTAAACCATTTCAATCGGATTCATCAAAGGCAAAAGTCGTTCTTTTTCTGTTGATAAGCCCCCCAATACCTGGAGACCTGGATCGTGGTTCACATCTCCATGTGGAGGGATGAGTCTTTCTTGATGAACAATCAGATTGAATTTGACTGATGCAAATGTCGTGGCCTGTGTATATAGAGAAGTAGATGGCACAATCCCCAATCTCGGTGGTTTATATGGACCCCCATCTTTTCAGGACATCGTGCAGTTTGTGCCATCGAAAATCTGAAACCACTGCAAGTGTGCAAACGGTGCTTACCAACACCCCTTGTATCATGCCGTTTCCAGAGCTTCATGCTCCGAAGCGACCTGCAAATACCGACGAGAACGGTCAGCAGCAGCAGCAGCGAACACTTGCCGCGGCTGAACGGGAGTTCCAGAACTGTTGAAACGATAGCATGAGATCCTTCTCAATGGGCTCTTATCGAAACCTGTCACAAATGTGTGCTCTAACCTGCTCTAGCTATACCTACGATGCATGGCAAACATATGAACACAATCCAGGCCAAGACAGAGATCCTATGCACTCACTTTTCCGCATCTACACCATCCTGAGTCACTGCATGTAGATCATGTACATCACCAGGTGTCCTGTTTGTGCCGTCCTCTTCGGGAGGCCGTTCCCCCGGCTTGGGGCCGTTCCCCCCAAGAAGAAGTCCTTTCAGGATTGGTTGGTGATCGTGCGCATGGTCGCGGCTGTATGGCTGTTCAAATCAGAGATTGACAAGAGGCAATTCCCGCCTTGGAATGGAGGAGTGCAACCACCGAAGAAGTCCATACAAGCCTCCGGCCCTTTGGGAAGCTGATCGCCACAACCCCCAGTGGCACAGCCTCAGCTTGCCAAAGTGTCTCCCAGCAGACGGCTGGATGAATATGTGGACAAGGGGGGGTCTATAAACCACCCCTTGGGTCAAGTGTGTTTAATTTGTTCTCATTCTATTCAATAAGGGACGCCTGCACCAAAACCAAGGAAACACAGTCTAGTCTACGAGAAGTGGGTGAACATCATGCTTGAGGCTAATCTTGTCTACATCAACTCTGCTGGCAGGGTGAACATCCATGTAAAAGGCACCGGAAAACAAAAGGTACGGTATCCTCTACCCCTATGCTAGAAGTCCAAAGACTGTATGTAGCACCACTGAAGTAAAGGATCTTCCCGAAATTGGGTGACCAAGTGTGACCAAACTTGCAAAAGAACAATACGGCACATACTCCTAGTATATTAACGAAAGGTTTGCAAGCTACCCATCATCATGCATCATCCACTGGTAATGGGATAAACCTAATTCTTTACACTGCAAAGAACTGAGTCACTGCCAAAACCCTGGTTTGGGGAGCCCAAACCGTCACCGAGTCACCGGGCCAGTTAGGGTAGTGGGTAGTTAGTGAGGGTAGTTAGTGAGTGAGTGGAATAGGGAAGGTCCATCTTTAAAGCATGCAAGGTCGCTGATGTCACCGAGGGCCGTGTTCGTGTTCTCCAAAGACTCCACGTCTGTGGTGCTGTTGCTCTGCAGGAGATAGGGGGAGTTCCACCACATGCACTCGAAATGCATGGGGCAATATCTCGACTTCCGGCCAGTCCTCACAAGCACAGACTGGCACAGACGGGGACGAGCAGAACGGGGCGGGATGTGAATTGGACAGGTGTCCAAGGCTTGATGCAAACTGGCTTGGATGGCTTGATGCAAAATGAACACCCTAATTTAGTTGATTCTGGGGGAAACCCGTAGTCACCCCTGCCCCTGCCTATTTTGGAGCAATTCTGCTGCCATCTTCTATCTAACTGCTAACAGGATTCCCCACGGCAACCCCAAATCCCTTGGAACATGATCTGGCTGCAGCTAGGCACCCCCTTTTATCCACTGGATTAAGTCTTGGTCGTTCGGGAACCTCGGAAGCCTTGTTTGACCCCGGGATGATGGATCCACAAACCATCAGAAACCAAAGGTCCAGCAGGAAAGGCACTTTGCCAGGTCTTTGAACTGCATTTCAGTGAGCGGAGGCTTCCACGCTATTCCACACTATCTATTGTGCGCAGCGGCATCTATTTGGTACTAAACTCAAATGCACTATCTATTGTGTGGGGGCCCTGTCTCGTTTGGACTACTTAAGTAAGAGGTCATGTCACAGTATCTCGTTCAGACTACTTTAGCAGCAAATCACATCATCTCGTTCAGACTGCTTGAGTGTCATGAAGCAAAAGCCTCTCGTTTATGTGGGGTCCCTATCTCGTTCACAAGAGAAAAACTGATGATGATAAACAAACAAATATAGAGCATGCCATAGACTTAATTTGGTAAAGCCTAAATAAAAGTGGTTGCTCATGTGGGAGTCCCTCTCGGTCAAGATCTGCCAAGGCACCTATGCGCAAGCAGTGACAATCCCTGACTCTTGCACTGAGAAGAGCTTCCTTGTACCCAAGGGAGGGTCATCGCCCAGAAGACCGCGATGAAACTCCCCATGGCGAGGCTCAAAGGCGACCCCGGCGACTCGGCTCAGATGGCTGTGACGACTCGGAATGAATTGCAGCACACATGTGGAACCTCTCAGACACTACGCACACCATGTGTGGAAGAAACAAGACACATGATGATACATGTATATATATAGATATAGCCTATAGCAGGATTAACAATAATACTATACATACAACAACAACAACAACAACAACAACAACCACCACCACCACCACCACCACCACCACCACCACCACCACCGCCACAACCACAACAGTAACAACAACAGCAGCAACAACAACAACAACCACAACAACCACAACCACAGCAACAACAACGACAACAACAACATCAATAACAATAACAACAACCACCACCACCACAACCACAACAGTAACAACAACCACAACAACCACAACCACAACCACAGCAACAACAACAACACCAGCATCAACAACCACCACCACCACAACAACAACAACCACAACAACAACAACCACAACCACAACCACAGCAACAACAACGACAACAACAACAATAACAATAACAACAACAACCACCACCACAACCACAACAGTAACAACAACCACAACAACCACAACCACAACCACAGCAACAACAACAACAACAACAACACCAGCAACAACAACCACCACCACCACAACAACAACCACAACAACAACAACCACAACAACCACAACCACAACCACAGCAACAACAACGACAACAACAACAATAACAATAACTAGTCTAAAACTATTAATATAATATAGAGAGAAATATATTTTTGTTTTAATGTCATAACGGTAAACACATTATACATCACAACGTCTCGTCCTCCCACCCCCAACCGATCGGTCAACATGGACGGAACCCGCCCCAAACCGAACACGTTCCGCCCGGGTCTTTGGAAGAACGACTCCGAAATCATCGGTGTATGGCACGTACGCACCTCAACTGAAAAGGATACAAAAAGGCCCGGCGCAGTCCAAGTTGAACAGTTGAACATCATGTCGAACAGGATGCAACACCTAGAGCCCGCCAAAATGCAGCGCTATGCAGCGCTGTTCTTTCTCTAGGTGCAAGAGGTCTTCTTTCAACAATAGCTTCGAGTTCAGCTTCGATACATTTCGCTTCAGCTTCGCCATGCCATGTCCGCTGCTATCACTCGAGGTGTAATTGAGAGTGGCTGCTGGAGCAACTGCAAAACGACTGGTTTGCAAGGGAAAGTGACTACCTGGACCCCCCAAGTAGCTCAAATAGGTATAAGTATATCTGTTATCAAGGATCTTTTTCTAGGGTCATGTCAAAACTTCTGAGATACTTTACTGCGGATCCACAAAGGGTAGTGGTAATGACCCTCCGGTGCTCCGTCTCATTTGGTTAGCTCAGGAAGTAGTTGGAGGTGAGCTGGGGATTGATGTCTTTCCAGAAGCCGCGATCGGCTCCCAGGTAAGAGGGGGGATTTACCCAGCTGGCCGCTGGGGGGAACATACGAAATGACACCGGCCAGGGACCCCAAACAGAGAGCACCGAGAGCACCCTGATCGAACCGGGGCTACCGTAAGAACTCACCCCTCGAAAAAAACGTGGACAAAACTGTTGGCACGCAAAGACCACGGCACATGGTTCTTGAAGACTCTTTAAGGGCCAGCAAGCCCAAAGAACTCAACAATGTAGACGGCACCGAATGTAACGGTAGGCACCTCACCTTCCCAGAACAAGCCTCTGACGGATTGTTTCAAAGCCAACGACTGGGACGACGGAAAGAATTACCGTCCCCATGGATGGGTCATCTTCGTAGTAGATGTAACATGATGTAACTATTCCAGTCCCATGGATGGTGTGGGGATAGGGGGCGAGTCGGGCGAGAGTTGTGAATCACACCTCGAAAGTCGCAAGCATACATAGACATTTTTTGATCAAACTAGGCCAAACTAGGCCACGAATGGGTATGTACATCCTCTGGGGTTTTCCCTGTGGTCCTTTTCTCTCAGTGTCTGAACCCGGAGTTTGCCCCCTGATTTGCTACCAAACCGGAGTTCCTCAAATCAGTGGCCACTGCTGCGGCAGACCTGCTACAGGTCCGGCAGGTGGTTGTAGCTCGCAGAAGGGCCACATCCAAAACAACTGAGCTCGCCAGCTCTTGATAGTTCTTGGATCTGGTTACAGGTCTTCAAGCTGAAAGACTAACTCGTTGAGTTCTTCCACTTGAAGACCAGGTCTGCACCTTTCTTTGTTCTTCCTGGTCCTTCTTCCTGTTGACTCCCACATCCTTTTTCTTCTTCAATAAGTCGATTTTCCACTCCGTGGACCCCAAACAGGTGGATCGGACTCCGAAAACCAGTGACTGACGGCATGGACATCAACCCATCGGCGGTGCCGGACCGATGGTTTGCCCCGTCAAAATGAAGCACTCTGAACATCCCAGAACATCTAAGGACGAAGCCAGACATACCCAAAATTACCCAAACACTCCATTCATCTCCAGTCTATGACGCATATTTTATGTGGGCAATTGCCCCGAAATCATTCTATCGAGGGATCTGGGGGCACAAATCAAACACTCAGATGCAATTTAAACGGAATCGTACGGACCATCCCATGGATGGAACATGTTCATGACAGGAATGCCAGGGCTAAAACAAATGCGAGCATGGCTGCGGCGGCACAGCGCGTCAGGGGCACTGTTCTGAATATGGCTGCACCGTTCCATGTAAACATGCACAACACATGTCCAGGCTGATTGTCCCAACGAATGCACTGAATGACGCATCAAAATATCCCTCTTGGTTCGTTTTGGAACATTCCAGGCTCCAAACACGAGGAACAACGATCAGCAAGGTCAACACTGACTGATTTGGATTGATTTGTTTGTTTGTCACCGACTTAGCTGCTTCCAACATCTGCATACTGCTGAGGTGATCAAAGCAGAAACACCAAAAGGACCAAGAACCCAATCAGCTCCAGCTCTAGCTCGCGCTTGCGAGCTAAGGGGCCCTGAAATGGATCATGCAACAACCACACCATGTAAAACCTGTCGCCTGTTGATTACACAACCCCCTCGGGCCTGCAAAGGTTTTACAATCCAAAGGAGATGTTGACTAAGTAATTCAGTCTATACAACTCACCCCGGTTGGACCAAGGGGTGGTTCCCATGATTCGTGTGTTGTTCTTTTCCCATCAGACCGCAAAAATACCTGCGATTCCCCACCGCAGGACTGACAGAAGCTGATTGGTAGAGAAAACGCGCAATGTCTTCCGGTGGTCCATGTTCAGGTTCTATGTTTAACTTACACTCCGACTGACTAACCTCCAGGGTCAATTCAAACCTCCAGGGTCATTTGTCCACTTCCGAGTCGGAGGGTATCTCCTTTTGTCCGGCTCATGTGAACAAAACCTGGTCCTGCAGCGCTCGAAGCTGAGCAGTGTCTGGGCGGCTCATGTCCTGAAGCGGTTTGAAGGGCGCCGGTCGATCAGAAAAGGAGTGCCCATCTAGCTGAATGAAGGAAACTTATCTATACAGGTCGGACTACATGTACAGCGAGGTCGGACTACATGTACACGAGGCATAACAAGTACTCCTTATCAAGTCTCTCTCTCTCTACATGTCTGTGTATAGTAACACCGAAACCATCCTGAGTTCGTGGAAAGAACTAATGAAACAAGTTTTGTATAGTTCTGTAGGAGTTCATTGGTTATAAACGGTCACAGTTGAGTATTTGGGTGTATTTGGATCAGATTCCTTACCACCAGCATGGATGAGGAAACCTTGCCCGCGTTGAACACGTGCCCGTGCCTGCACCACCAAGCCCTGGGCGGTATGAGGACGGAAGCCGTCCTGCAGGTCTGGTTTGAGTCAAGGACTCCCTGTGGCCCCTGGGAAGAAGGGCAGGTTGACGACTAGATTTGCTTGCTTCAGTCACGCCTGGTTGACTTAGATCCCGCAGTCTCAGATTGAAGGATCCCATTTTCATCCATTATCGCTACCAAATGTCACCAGCACGATGCACCAGGACCTTCAAAGTGACCAAACTTTAAAAAAGAGCGACACTTGATTTTCGCTCACAAACAGAGACTCCAAAGAGGTCACGAACTGAAGAAGCTGGAAGTGATTCCAGTCGGTCCTGCAGTGGGAGATGACCTGAGATTGGGGCGAAGAGGCCTGGGGAAGAAAAAGCCGTCCCGTAGGATTACTCTTGGTGAATATGTCAGATATGTCAGTTTAAGATCCACACAATAGCAGCAATACTGACAAACCTCAAATCACGTCAGTTTCTTTTGGTGGTGGAGGTTGGACCTTGAGCAGGGAACCCAGCTGATAGTGAGGCGCCGCGTTCAGTGAAAAAGAATGGATAGCGCATCCTGAGTCCTTGTGTTTCCTCCCGGTGTGATAAAAAAGCAGTTCTGAAACAAAGGCGACGCAACTCGCATCTCATCCTGCTGCGCTTCGTCACGCCCTGAGACGATCGTTCAACGCGGTTTCCCTCCAATGGAAGAAGTACTCCTCTGTTGGGCAGGTCAGGAGATAGGTGTTCCCTTCCCTTCATATCCAACTTCTCTGTTGCACCCAGTTCGAAGCGCTCGCCAGCCCACCCCTCCCCGAACTCGACCAAAATGCTCCGGGAAGACAGTCGTGAGGACATGCGAGACATCTGGGAGACCTGGCGAGGCATCGAACAACGACGAAGGGCCAGCGTGAGAAGGACCTCACACACACAACTTGCGCTCCTCTTTTCGAGTCGCTCACAAACCTTGCGCTTTTTTTTGAGGGGGTTCTTGAGGGTAGAATGGGACCGCTGAGGACGACCATCTCCCAGATTCATCATGATTCGGCAGTGGGTCAAACCTCCCTGGTAGGTTGACCTCCCTGGTGAGCCATTTGGTCAGTCTGTGGTCAACCAGGGTCCGTTTTGACCCACATCCATATCCTTGTATAGAACCTGGAGCTTCCTGCCAGCCCTTGTGCCCACCCAAGCTGCGCACGGGCCTGCTAGGGGACTTGT